TCTGTACTGTTGGGGAGGCTTGACTTTTACACTTTTTAGGGCTGGTCTGCTTTGATTTTAATTTTAGTTATAGTAAATTCCTAATTCCAGGGACAGAGTTTCTATTCCTAAGGAACAGCCTTCTGTGATTCTAGTGGAAAGGTTCACATCTTTACCATGGCCCTCTAACATGACCAGACTTGAAAATCTACACTCTGTTTCTCCTTGGTGGGCAGCATCTAGAATTTCTGCTCAGCACTTTCAGCTTTCTAGCTCCTGCTTTCCACTCGGCTCCTTGGAATAGTCCTTACACATCCATGGTTCAAGACTCAACCAAGGATTTGAGGGGAGTTTATATGCAGATTTGGGGATTCACTTTCTGTGGCTTTCTCCTGTCCTGGGTATCTCCCCTTAATAGCCAGCCTCTCTGACCTCTGACACCTTAAGCCATAAGGCTGTGGCTTTCTGTTTTGAGTTCTCTCTGACCATGCCACATTGACTGAGGATCGCCTTTAGAGGAAAGCTATATAAACATGATCACACTCAGTGTGATTCCCTTCCTTCAATGTTGTGACTTCCCTCCAGCTTCCACCTGCTTTTGGTTGCTCTCATAGGACTTCAAATACTTTTTTTCATATTTTGTCTAGGGTTCATAATTGTTATCACAGGAGGGTTAATCTAATACAAGCGCTTCTGCCATTACCCAAACCGAAACTCCTAGACTTTTAAAAAATTATTTAAAAAAATTTATCAAGGTTAAATTCACATAACATAAAACTAACCATTTTAAAGTGAACAATTCAGTGGCATTTAGTACAGTCAAAATGTTATGCAACCACCATCTCTATCTACTCCCAAGACATGTCCATCACTCCAAAATAAAACCCAAATAAGTCACTCCAAAATTAAAAAAAAAAATTATTAATATTTTGACTTTATATTTGTTTGGCATTTCTATTACTGAAAATTTTAGTTTCTAGTATCACTAACCTACTAATTCACTTTATGCTGCAATATACACAGTTTTTAAATCACTAACAATCAAACTATGAGATTTCTCTGCAACTATGTTTGTTTTTACAATATATCTGACCAAGGAGGCAGAGTTAGAGAACTACATTCAAGAGTTACTTATTCTTCTGGGCCGGCCAAGTGGCGCGTTGGTTAAGAACTGGCTTGGGATGCCAGTGGGCCCTGGTTCGGATCCCACATATGAGGGACAGTGACACTGCCCTCTATAGCTAAAATGCTGAACAACAGCTCGACCTGGAGCTGGGCTGC